GACTTTTATAACTTACCTGGCTCAAGTATATGTTCAGTTTCAAATCGGCAAATCGGTAAAACCTGTCCAGTATCAAATTTTATATTATTGAGTTCTTAAATGCCTGGCGCTATTGCTCCCCCTCCATCCCTCCTGGTAAATTGTGTGGCCACTATTTGGCCCCAACACCTTATGATTCATAGAATTGCCATGTATCACATGGATGGTGGTAAACAATCTCAGAAAGTTTTATTGTCCTTGATTGATGGACTTTTGTCATAACTTAGCATCTCTTGACAATAGGCTTTATATCATAATTGATATATATATAGTCTTCAGAGTACATGTATTGAATTCAGATGATCACGGAAATCACACGGGAATAGGTTGGTTTGAAAATGTTCAAAGAATCCTTTATGTCAATACTAAAGATTAGGCTACACGCTTTTCGTCTTTACAAAAGAAGAATTTTAAATTTGATTTATTTTATTTGATGCTTGACTAATTGTGATTAAGGAGTACACGAATTACCAGAAGTTTGAATAACTTGTGTGTATTTCTGGGAAAATGTCCACAGCACCGGACACCATACCTCTATTTTGTACCCCAACACGTCTGAGCATAGATATTTTCTAAACACTAAGACATACAAGAATAGATTAAGGCCTTGTGTTTCTGTGTTAAGATTCTCCTTTTCCGAAGGTAGAAAATGATGACCACTTTGATGATACAAAAATCCATTCCGTGGATGTTGATTAAGGAGCTATGTGCTACCATTGCCTCTAATGTGTCTTGATACCTCGTTCTTCTTCTGTAGGTTTCTTTTCTTTTTATATTTCTTTTTTCTTCTATAGTGAAGCAACGAGTTTCATCTGTGACATCTTCTTTGATTATTCTTCACGATCTATGGAGGACAAGGTCCCCGATGATTTCCACACCTACAGAAGAACAAGGCGCATTTCCTGATTTACTCAGAAAAAATAACTGTCATAGATGGTAGAATACCCTCTCCCGTATGGGACAAAATATTCTTCAGGTTGTTTTCATTATATGGAACAGCAATGGCCTTTGTCCCATTAATGGCTTGCAATGGATCATCAATGTTCTGCGGTGCCAGCTCCACCACACGAACATAGCTTTTGCTCGTATCTGTGATCAACACTATTTAAGATGATCGAATTAAGTAATTACCCGATAGTGTAATAATTTGGACCGCTTCTCCTAAATAATCACATTTTTATCAAAGAAAGTTTAATTTAATTGACTTTACTTTTAACGATTTTAATATCCTGAAAGGAAACAACACTCGCGGGAGAAGAAAACCAAAATTACTTGTAGACAGTATCGCCTTTTTTGAAAATTTTCTATTTCCGTTTGAGAATTAATTGACTCGTTGATAAAAGAATATTTGTCCTTAATGTGACCTGGGTCAAACCATGCGTTTAATTGAACGAATCATTAACAATATATTTCATTCCATTACAAATTATTTAAAAGTATATCGCTCTATACAATTGATGTATTGAACACTATTCTAACAGTGAAAAATTGTGTTAATGTATTATATTCCATCATGTCTTTTTAGTTTAAAGATTCAATTTATTGCCAAGATGTTTAGCTTCAACATGATCAGCTGTATGATTGGATTAGTTTTACTCTCTACGGTTTTGGCATCACCAGTAATGCCTATGTATGAACTGGATCTGCTACCAAATGATATGGCATGCTTATATATCTGTAATATTTGCTACGATGGCATGGTAAGTATATAGTGTGTGTTATTCACTGGACAAATTTTTATGTGTATCAAGGACACTGATAGACTCTATTTGCACAATTGCGGTTTTCAATCAGACATCTGTGGTTCTTGAAATTTCTCTAAAACTAACCATTTCATGACGTTAGGCCTACTATTGCAAAAGGCCTTATGTATTTTTAGCAGCTTTTGTCATAGTTTTAGATAGTTGCTTAGTTTATGCTGAATAAAAATTGGAATGGTGCAAATCAATGCTTTTAATCAGAAAAAGAAATCAGAATTTCTCAATGAGCATCATATTTACATGGTTGTCGAATCAGTGGGAATTTGATGAAACAAACAGACAGGGTTTTGTTTGAACAAATTATGCTAATGAACTTTCATGTTAGTCTTCTTGTGATTCTATGACTGGTCCGGAATAGATTCACAAACATAGAGCATAGAAGTCGTTGTAGACGGAAGTAGGTAAGTTTGTCACGGGAAATTTGGTCAACGGAAATATGGTCAAAGTAATATGGATACCGTGTGCCCGTATTACTGTGACAAGAATGCCTTGTGCCCGTATTACTGTGACAAAAATACCTTGTGACCGTATAAATGTGACAAGAATACCTTGTCCCTGTATTACTGTGACAAAAATACCTTCTGCCCGTATTACTGTGACAAGAATACCTTGTGCCCGTATTACTGTGACAAGAATACCTTGTGCCCGTATTACTGTGACAAAAATACCTTGTGCCCGTATTACTGAGACAAGAATACCTTGTCCCTGTATTACTGTGACAAGAATACCTTGTGCCCGTATTACTGAGACAAGAATACCTTGTGCCTGTATTACTGTGACCATATTTCCCATGACCAAATTTCCTGTGACCAAGTTACCGTGCACCGTTGTGGACACTGCTATGCCGTTTTTGCCCAGCAACATGGATAATTACAGATTCCGTTCTTTCTGTTTTATATATAATGCAATCAGCTATATCATATTCGTATTTTTCAGCCTAAAGAAATGAATACATGTGCCAATGATATTTGCTCTAAGCCAGAGTGCAGTATATTGGATTGGATGAAGATCGGAAGAGATTGTAAAAACTATAAAACTATTGCAGAATATACTACTAAATCATTATTGAAACATTAAAATATGTTCTGCATTATTCAGTCAGATTATTTATTTCCGTTTAAAAAACATCACTTTCGATTTTCCTATTCAAGTAATCTGATTTAAGGACAACATTATCAAGAAATAATTTCATTTGTAAACAGTTCATTGAAATACAACATTTAATCTAAGTGAGTTAGCTAAATTTTCCCATCTCAAATTCATGCTTTTTTCAATAAAGATTCCTATAACCACTAAATACAATGGACTGCTTTACAAACGCCTGTATTAATACAATGTACGGGCCTAGGGGTGGAATTACGTGTTATTTGCGGGTTCGCCAATTTAGCGTAGTGTGCTATCCGTAGAGGCCCCCGCAAACTTTACGCAAAGTCAACGCTATTGTTAGTACTAGCGTAAATAAACCATTACTCAACAGTGCGTACGAAGATATACAGCATTACCAGAAGCACGATGGAGGCCGCAACCATAGGGATAACTGCACATTGATCGCATGAAAACCTTTGCGACAAACAAAGGCGTCTTTGTTCAAATGCGTTTTTGTTCAAAGTGCAGCAGGTATGGCATGGCAATGTTCAGTTTGCGGAACAATGTCAGCTTCGATCAAGTCTATGACTTCGGCCCGCGATTCCTTTTTAATAATCATGTACATCTAATGGATTTATTCGGTCCCTATATGTTCTATTTCGGCAGTAGTATATGAGCTTATAGATTGGTCGCATAGGGGGATTCCCCATTCCATTTCATTTCATGGGGAAAATGCAACCAATATATAAGCTCCCAAAAAGACCTAAAATCCCTACATTTCATAAATTCTTACACCTAAATTCCCTACATTTCATAAATTCTTACACTAAAAAAGACCTAAACTCCCTGTAAATTATTACACCCTATTCTCCCTACATTTCATACACTAAAAACACCTTCAATCAATTTCCTACATTTCATCAAAAAAGAGTATATGAGCTTATAGATTGGTCGCATAGGGAATACCCCATTCCATTTCATTTCATGGGCTCAATCTATAAGCTCCCAAAAAAGACCTAAATTCCCTACATTTGATAAAATACCCTACATTTCATAAATTCTTACATTAAAAAAACACCTTCAATCAATTTCCTACATTCCATCAAAAAAGCATATTAAAATAATGTAGAAGGGAGAAAAAACAATTTTCTACTCAAATTTTAAACCTTAAAAATACCCGTAATAACACCATCAATTGAAGTAGAAACGAGAATATTCAACTCGTTAACTAAAGATATTGAAATAGCTTTTCTTCATCGCAACACAGTAGGTAGCATGACTTTAACGGGAAAATCCACCACATGGCCAATCACTAATCACTAAACCAGCAAGATATTTAATAGTTGGTTTCAAGAACTTACCAGATTCTCAAACGAATAACAATAATGTCTTTAGAGTGGCAATGAACCAAACTCAAGATCCTTTAATCCATAAAGATCAAGTAAGATTAAATAACGATAATTATCCTAACCAACCTTTAACAATTAATCCAACCACAAAGGATTATAATGAATTGTATAGAAACTATAAAAACATGTGTGAATTATTCGGAAATCTACCTCAGTTTGAATATGTAGATTTTGCACTTAATCATCCAATCTTCTGTTTTGATCTATCAGCTCACCAAGAAGATCTTTTCAAAACAGGAGTGAACATAAATATTCATATTGAAAACACACAAGGAGATGTAACAGGTTATTGTTTACTACTCGAAGAAGCAAAACATTTAATTAAAATAGCAGATAGAAGAATGATAAGAATTGAGTAAAAAATACCCCCTTAAGAATGAAAGAAGAAACTTTAGTTATGAAAATAATAGAAGCTGTTGAAACAGATTTCCCAACTGTAATAACTTTCAACGGTAAAAAAATCAACGTAACTAAAAAAACTTATTGATAAATACAAATATTGTAAAGTCAGAGACGATATAGATTTAGAAAGAATTGATACAAATGTAAAAAAAAATGTGGATTTATATTTTCCCTACCTTTAATATTTGCTGGTATTACCGCGGCGGCTACAGTCGCTGGTGTTACAGCTGATGGAGTTAAAACTGCCAACGAAAAGAAAGCAGCTGCAGTAACAGCAGCCGAAGAACATAGACATAATTTAAAAATGGAAAAGTTGGCCAATGGTTCAGGAGTGGGAGAAATGATAGGCACAATGAAAGAAATTGGAAAAAGATTTAGTGAAGAAACCAAGAAAACTGTTAAACAAGGATTAAATAAATTAGTAGATAGTATTGACACAGGAGAAATCAAAGCCAAACATAAGGGTAATGGAATATTTTTAAAAAATATACACACCGGAGAAGGAATATATCTTTCGAAGTATAAAGGAGAAGGAGTTATTTTTGGAACAAATTAAAATAATAAAAAATGGGTAAAAAATTTAATCATTCAGAAATATTTCCTAATAACCCAATGCTCATGTGTATTTGCGGTAGTTCCGGTTCTGGGAAAACTCATCTCACTTTTAACATGTTGACAACACCAAACCTTTTAGATTTCGATTCTTTGTATATCTACACAACAACACCTGAGCAATCTTATTATCATTTTCTCAAAGCTTTAGAATATTTACCAAAGAAAGATGTTCAAGACCTATTTCAATATTACGAAGAAAACGAAGAAGAAGTGGAAATAAAAGATTTCATAGATAACTACATCGAAGGAAAGAAACCAACGGATATAAAAGTTTTTCTTACGAAAAATGTTAATGATCTAGATTTGTCTAAAATTGATAGTGAGCGAAAGAACTTACTAGTGTTTGACATCACAACTGTCACTGTATATACCAATCCCAATCTTTTTACGGGATGGATTCTATGTTCATTAGAAAAAATGCGAATTGTTTTTTATTATTTGAATTAAACGATAAAGATTTATCTCAAATCGTTCAATCGATAAATCACGGACAGAGATACATTCAAAAAGGTTTGTAAAGCTCAATGGAGAAATCCAGATGATTATGGATATGTATTTGTAAATACTAGAAAACCTGCGGCTGAAAGAGTTATGATCAACATTTTATTTTTTTAAAAATGAGTAACGATTGGAATAATATTTTAAAAAGAAATAGAGAATATATCAAAGCTAAGAATAAAATAAAGACCCAAGTTGAAATAACAGATTACAACAACTCGGATTAACGGAAAATCTACAAAACTTATTTCAACCCATATTAAAATCTCAAGAGGATATTAAAAAGAGACTTATCCCTCCTATAGAACCCACACCTCACCTCCTATAGAACCTCCCAAAGCGATTGAATATCATGGTATTATAATTAGGACAGTAGATGATGTAAAACATTATTTTTCAAACCCTGACCCAGATTTCACCAATCATTGATGAAGCAGGGTTACGGTTTAATGGATTTAGAATAAGATTTAGGGCAAATACCCCCGAATTTATAATCGATACAAAAGATTATACATTAACGAGAGGATTAATAGATTTAATGAATGGGAAGGATGTTGTTGGTATTGCCGATTATAAGGATTTAGTAGCATACTCCAAATTTCTAGATGCAATAAGAAAGTCGGGACCCGAAACAAGAAGATCGAAAGAAGTTAAACTATATAAAAGAGTAATTGAACGTGATGAAGAGGAGTTAGGTGATTATGCTGAAGAGCATTCTCCTATCACACAAGAAATAGACGAATTCGAAGATATGGTATCTGGAGAAGGTATAACGTTTTTATCCGACAACAACGAGGAACTACTTAATAGATTACGAGTAATATTAGCGGCAATGAAGGAAGGACATCGATCGCACAGACAATATAATGAAGTAAATTGTATATTAAAAAGACTCCTAGAGAAAGGTATCATAGATAAAAATGATTATAAAAGCGTGATTAAACATGTCAAATAAAGAACAACTATTCGTCATCACTTCAAATAAATCAGACATTAAATTGTCTCTAGACTATGAGTACGAACTCGATCGCAATCAAGAATATGAATTGGGATTAAAGTATTTCTCTGTTTACAATTCCATTAGAAATATCAACGAAAAAAATAATCAAATAAAAATATCAACAGATAACGGAGTTACGTTCAAAACCATACGTTTACTACCGGGAAGCTACGAATACATAGCCATTAACGAATACTTATCTGAATACGCAGGAAGCGTGAGCGGTAAAAACAATATTGAATTCGAAGGTAATTTGAATCTAAACAAAATAAAATTGATATTAAGAAATAATTGTCAAGTCGATTTCAACGTAGAAAATTCATTGAATACGTTACTAGGATTTGATAAACGAGTATACACCCAATCCACTTTAGCACCACACAAAGCTAATATCGAGAATGATATCGATGTGATAAATATACATTGCAATTTGATAAATGGTGGATTTTTCAATAAATACAAACGTCAGATTATTTACAGTCTTCCAACATTCACTGTACCGATAGGATATAGAATTATAGAGAAACCATTTCAAACGACGTATTTACAACTTAATTCCTTTATGATTAAAGATATAAATCTGGAAATCAAAGATGGTAAAAATAAGTTTATAGATTTTGGTAACGAGGAAATTGTTATTCAACTTCATTTAAAACAAAAAAATTAACACTCTTCATTCATTCATTGAATAGTTAGATAATCGTAATCATCAAATTCAAAGTTTTCATCTATGTTTAATTCTTTTCCGTCGTTGTAAGGATACATAATTCCTTCACTGTTTGGTGCTTTTCTTTTAACGAGATTCAGATAACTTCTGAAAACTTTCTTTTGTTTTTCATTAGGAATAACTATTCCATCAGTAAAACTTTTTACCCAAGGTTTCTTAAATTCATTCGTTACGTCATGTCCACTAGCTAATCGAATATAACCTTCTACGGATATCTTATCTTTAGAGTAACCCTTAAACGTTTTCTTTTCTTTTAGAATACCGTCGGAAGTTAGAATGATATTGTATTTTACTTTTGGCGCTAAATATAAACCAAATATGATTCCACCATTACCATAATCATTCTTCCCTTTGCTATATTCGTTTTCAGACACCAACCCAGCTTCATTTAATTTATCCCAATTACTAGACGAAATGTATAAACTATCAGTATCTGTATAGTATATTTCCGGCTTATAAAATCCATCTATTACGTGAATGAAATAGTTCATTATTTTTTTTACTGTGAGATAATATAAATGCACCTAAATGAGCGGGTGTTAATCTAGTAAAATCCTTTAGAGGAACAAACTCTTTTTCTTCTTCATTCATCTCAACTATATATTGACTATCATTTACTTTTTCATAGCTTTTGACATGTGAATCGAAGTTGGCTTTAAAAGTCGCTTCACTCCATAGATGTCTCGATGTATTTATATCCTTCTGAATAGATTTACCGTATAAGGAATTACCTAATAATTTCATGCAATTACTAGCAACCATATCTCCTTCTTTTTTGTATTTATTCCTTAATTCCTTCAAAATTAAAATATAATCTCTGTATGGTGGAGTTTTAAAATTTTTTTCGTATACTATTCCATCTAATATTTTAATAATTTTACCACCGGATTTCACTATTTCTTGAATATCAACCGATGTTAAAACGTCGTGACAGAAACCATTTCTAAACCTGATTTTAGTGCCAGTTTCCTTCTTACCTATTCTATTCGTAAAAGTTATTTTATCTTTAGCTGGTATGGGTTGAAAGAACATGTTGGTAGGATATTCAAACCAGACTTTTAAAATAGCAGTTCTAGATCTGAATTTTTGTTTATTGAAGAGTTTTACAAATTCTTTTTCTTCTTCTGGTAGAAACGCTCTTGCACTTTCCGCTTTAGGATATTCACTATCTGTCATGGCGGAAGCGTACAACCCATTAGCGTCAAATGCCATCAGTTAGTACAGTTTATTTTTTTAAGTCTCGAATGAACTTCCGTTTTATCTTTTGAGTTAACACTGTATAAATCTATTATTCCTTCAGTGTCACTTTCATTGTATTCTTTTAATATGGCACAGATCTCATTCATTTTATCCGTTTCATATGATTTTCGATTTGCCGAAACTCTTCCTCCTTTTATACTTTGTCTGATAAAATATCTCATAAAAGGGTGAGTATGCGAGTAAACTTTTTCTACGTTTTCTTTTTCGGTGTGTTTGGGAACCATGATAGTAGTTTCATAGCATTCTTCTTCAACCATTTCTTTATCGTAATGATATAAATAATACCAACCCTTTAAAGATAAAGAAGGAGCTGTTAGATTATTGGAAACGTTTTGGAAGACAGTTTTTTTCATTGCTTGATTGTATTTTATCAAACAAGCTCCGAGACATAACGTATCTCTTTTAGCGTAAGGTTCCCATTCGTGTCTTAAAGATTCCCAGTTATCTTTAGTGTATTTTGCAATATTAACACCCTCGATCTTTCTCAAATTCATTGTTAGATTAGATGAATTTCCCCATGCCGCTAAACTAGATGATTCGTGTTGATAGGAACATGTGAAATTAATATTTTGCAAATAATTAGAGTTACCCTTTATTTCTTTCTGTCTTTTCCATTTTTTCTGTAAATCTTCATCAGTGAATGAATTAGTTAAAGGTAGAGACAGAATTCCTCTAGCTGTTTTTAAAGGGCACTGTGTTAGTTTTTTTACGTTTTTGATCATGATCCAGTTATCAAAACCACTGCCGTTATGGGAAATTAAGGTTAGTCTTTTCTGATCTACTTTTCCTAAACGTTGTAACATTTGATCTATACAATCTGTACCTACAAATATTTCTACTATATTAGTCATGAGTATGTTGTAATATTCTTCTGAAATGGGATCTGACGGCTTAAAATCTATAGTCTCATAAAAATCACTTAAATAATTATTATAATCATCTAACCTTTTCCTCAGTTTTTCCAAATTGACTAAAGTACAACAATAAGGAATGGCTTTATTCGTTTCTTTTTCGCAATAGGTTTCGCAATCCCATGCGTATAAACAATAATCGGGAATGGTTGGAAAAACGTTTAGTTTTAGAGGTGAAACTTGCGTTACCGCATTATCATCTTCACAAGTTCTCCATACGTTTTCATCGTAATTATCTTCTATTTCTTTAATGCCGAAGGTTTTGTTATTTTTTCTTATCAAACAGAAATGTTCTTTGTGTAAATAAAAAACCCAATCTAATTCTTCGGTTACTTTCTTTGGTTGAAAATGTCTATGTTTGGGCATATATATTTGAAAATTAGTATTAAATTTCTTATTGAATTCGCAGATTCTAGCAGATGTCATAACTCCTTTTCTGTTTGATTTTGAAAAAGTGTTGATGAAATCTTGAAATTCTCTCGTGTAGTCTTCGTTTAAAACACGATTAACGCACTTTACAAAGCAGTATCCATCGCTCGGTATATAACAATTTATACCGATATATTGTTTTATCTTTTTGAGTAGGGTAACACCACTACCCTTTTTTGATCTTTTTATTTCTTTGAAATTGTTTTTATGGAAAATCATTTTTCCTGTGAAATACCAATCGGAGGCATCCGATTTATTATCCACTGCAGCGAAGAAATTGACAAAAGTTTTGGTATTAAAACCTACAAATTTCATGTCTTGTTTGTATTTTCCATCTTGAGTTATCTCTCCAACTATTTCAATTTGCCCTTTAAATGTTATAAGTTCATCAGAGATAAGGTCAATAACATCGGAAAAAAGTTCATTTGATATGAATTTATCAATTTTTTTCATATTTTTTAATTCATCAGAGATAATCTTGTCTATAATATCGTCTAAAATTTTCATTGATATGAATTTTTATCGTCTACAATTTCAATTTTATTCATATTTTTAAAGCAACTATTTTTAACTAGGAATTTTTAACTTTTATTGATGATATTTCTACATCAAATTTATCTAAAATTTCATTGAATTTTTCTAATTCTTCAATAGTTATGTTCTTATCCTCTCTCGATCTTTCGAAAAATATAAACAATTTATTAAGATATGTATTTAAAATTTTTGTTTTCCTTTTAAAATGAGCTTTCTGTTTTGGTGTAAAACCTAAAGTAATCAAACCACAAGATGAAGTTTGAACGGCAGTGAACGCGGCTAATACAGTTGGGACAATTATTGGAAGCATTAATCCACCGGTTACGGCTGTTGCCACCGTTATCCCTATTGTTAAAACTGTACTTAATGTTTTGAAAATAGAATCGATTCTACTCCATGTTTTTCTACATTTGTTGAATTGTTTTAGTTTTTCTTTTAGTTCGTTTTGTTTTCTATCATGTAGTTTTGTCTACTTTCGAGTTCCATTTTTAGGTAATTAAATTAAGTGAACTTCTGATAAAGCTACTTCGTGTTTACTATCTTCAAAAAAAAATTTTACAGACACTAACGATATTTGTTCTTTCGAATCATTAATCTTATTCAGATGAACTGAAAATTTTGGTTTTTCAATAGAGATTAATATAAAAAAATATACATCATCTCTTATTAAAAAAATTTGTTGTTGTTGACTTTTATGAATATCGATTGAGGTAAATGCATCATTATTAACAAAATATAGTTTTATGTATTCGAAGTCTGTTGCTCGTAAAAACTCATAATTGTTTCTTACTTTTTTCGGTTCTGGATTTTTAATAATATTCGTTGATGGTGGAGTTTCCGTTTCCAATATCATATCAAAATCACTCAATGAAAGTTCATCTTCTTCATTATCTGGTATGATTAACATTCTAAACCTATCTATATATTTTCCGCTCGTTTTAATTTCATATGAGTGATCTCTCTTGGTGTTTTCATCGTTAATTTTTAATTCTTTAGTTTCTACATTTTTCGTACCATAGATAAACTGGAGAACTTTGCGAGCGTTAAATTTTTTAAATGCATGTAAGTTTTGTCTGAAGAATATTGAATCAACTTTTACCTGAAAAGGAAAATTAATTTCAATTAAAAGTTTTCCTCGAAATCTAAAATAAAATGGATAACGATCATCATCTGAATTAAAAATATTTTGGGGGGAAATATCAGTATCTGGAACAGAATATACTCTAATATTTACTGTAAATCCATATAATTTATATTCATACTCTCTTGATTTATCACTATTATCAGTAATAAAAACATCTTCATCACTCAAATTTCCAAATGGAAGATTGAAATTATATGATTCTTTCTTGAGAAACTTTTTTTCTAATGCGACTATATTTTTGTCCTGTTTCAAAACTAGGTTATTAATAGTGGTTATCTGTTGTTGAATAACACTATCATCAATGTTCTGTATTTGTTGATGAATATAGGTTTTGATTTCGCTATCATCTATGTTTTGTATTTGTTGTTGAATAACAATATCTATATTTTGTATTTGTTTTTTAATATTTGTTAATTCTTTTTGTAATTCACTGTTAAGTTTAGTTTCCAGAGCATTTAATTCCTGTTGAAACGTATCTTCATTTTCATCTGGAATGTTATCTAACAATTGTTGAATGTCTAATTTTTGTTTTGCAATCTTATCCTCTAATTTAGATATTAATCAAATTAAATTTTGTAACTCAGTTTTGTTCACTACGTTGACCAATTCTTTTTGAATAAAACTTATTAATCTTTGTACCTCTTGTTGTAGTTTAGTATCATCAATAAAATCTTTATTATTTATTTGTCGTTTGAAGAATCCTTTCACATCATTTATTCTTTCTTTTAAATGGTCTTTATTTACTTCAATTAAATTTAATGGTTCCATTAAATATTTCTTGTGAATGGCATCATTATCGTTTTCCGGAGACTTTAAATTAGTTATGCTAAAATTGTTCATATCAAAATCACCTTGAAGAGTGTCTCCGATTTGATCCAGGAAGTAAGGTTTTGCTTTATTTATCCACGCTGTAGTGTTAGGTTTTTTGGTTTCTAAAGATAAAGAACCTAATTCAAACTTATTCGCCATTTTTATTGAGTTAAATTTATTATAATTTCTTCGAATTGTTTTCCTAAACTCAACTGATATAAAACCCAAAGTGAAAGCTGACCACAAAACTTTGTCCCGGTAATTGAATTTGAAATGTTGAACATTTGATTGGTTTATTAGTCAATTGGATTATCTCTTCAGTGGGTTCTAATCCATAAGAATCGAAGAAATAAAAGTCAGAGTCTTTGTACAAAGCAGAATGATGAACTCCTTTTTGATCGGAAGTATGTATATTTGTTATAGCGTAAAATTTACCTTTCTTATATTTCAGATTATTTATTTCATCTCTCATACAATAATAAAACGGTGATATATTTAACTCATTCGCCCATCTCATAAGTTGAAAGTTTGTGGTTGTATCGGTTCCATATTTATCGAGAAATTCATTCATTTTTAAAAGTCGGTTTTTTGAAGTTCGTTTTGATAAAACCTACCTATGATTTGTTCTTTGTCTTGATCGATTAATTCATATGTCGGAGGTGATGTGGTGTTTACTTTATCAACGATGAATATTTCGTTCGTCCAGTATTCAACGTAACCTTTTTCGAATTTACTTTTATATTTGAAAATACGAACTCTATCTCCGACTTTAAATTTGGGTTTGATATTTAAATTCTTTATTTCATTTTCGTAGTTATGTTGCGCGTTAATTGACTTTATAATATTTGGATTACTCGAGGCTTGTGTTGGTGTGACACCTATAGATGAATGAATTTTGTTATTGTATTCGTCGACAACAACTGGTAATATTTTAAGCCATTTTTGGGATTTCAATTCCGTGAATTTTTTGAATAATTTATTTTCAAGAGTCCTGTTAAATCTTTCTATTACTACAGCTTTACCTTCATTATGTGTGCTGTTAATTTTAAATCCTAGAAATTTCATATTTTTATTATAAAATTCGCTTTCTTTATCTACCCATAACTTTTGAGGTCGTCTGTTGGATTGTTTCATTATTGTTTCAAATGCGTGTTTGACTGATAGTCCCGTTTTGTTTTTCAAAGGAATAACCCATACATATCTCGTATATAAAGCAATATTTAAATCCTCTTTCGACTGGCATATGAATTAAATCGGCTGACCATATTTCATCTTTTTCAAACACTTTGACTTTTAAAAAGTTTTTAGTTTTTCTAAATCCTTTATGAATTTCATCCGCTAATCCCATACCTAATTTCATCTTTGCTTTTAACAGTTTAATGATTAATGCTCTTTCCATTCTTACTTTGAAAGTTGGATTTGGAATATTTTCAAGTTCTATTATCATTTGTCTGTCTGCTTCGTGTCTGAAGTTTATGTCTTTGTTTCTGTATAAAATATCGTGTTTAAGCGCAGCGGCGTAACTCTATTGACTGGTTCTTCCCCTGGTTTGGGTTTATCGTTTTCGTCTAGTCGCAGATCTAACCTAGAACCTGGACCGGTGTAATTATGACCGGGAAGATGTTTTTCTCCGGGATATTTCGCCCATGGAAATCCAGGAAGAGAACCCAATGATTTTTGTATATCTCCTGAACCGAAATAAGTTTTTGGAGCGTGAGCGACTATCATTTTTATCCTATAACTTTAAAACCTTTCCCTTTCCTTTCTTCTAATCTCCTGTTTCGCAGTTCTCTTATTAGTTCTAATTCTTTCAACTCGTTAGATTGTTTCACTGCGTCGCTTATACTCTTTCCCGCTTCCGCGATTGAGCCGATGGCTTTCGCTCCGGTTGAAATGAGTGATTTGTTTTTTGAAACAAAGCTAGCTAAAGATACCGTCGCCCGAATAATCTTCGAATCTGTGTTGTTCGCGTTTTAGAATTAAACTCATCCTATTTTTGAGTTAATGAGTTAATGAAGTCTGTTTTTATCCAAAAAAAGTTATCTCCCTTTTTTCTAGAAGTTTCTAGACTAAAAATAACATTACTTAAAACGAGGCGATTAAAAACCGGATGTTAAGCGAAACAAGGATGTTATTTTATATAAGGGTATTTTTAATATGCTTTTTTTGATGGAATGTAGGAAATTGATTGAAGGTGTTTTTTAGTGTATGAAATGTAGGGAGAATAGGGTGTAATAATTTACAGGGAGTTTAGGTCTTTAAGTGTAAGAATTTATGAAATGTAGGGAATTTAGGTGAAAGAATTTATGAAATGTAGGGATTTTTAGGTCTTTTTGGGAGCTTATATATTGGTTGCATTTTCCCCATGAAATGAAATGGAATGGGGAATCCCCCTATGCGACCAATCTATAAGCTCATATACTACTTTCGGCGATTATTCCGATTAGCGTGGTGAATTGCGCAATCTTGCGAATAATAAGCGTGACCTTTGTGCGTCTTGTTTATGTGGACTTCGCGATCCTGAAAAAATAGGCACCAAGTAAATTACGTTTGTAAACCTGGAAGTGGCTAGCGTTTACACTAATGGCCTTTATTTATGCAAATTTTGTTGAAGAATTAAAAAATAGAATAATATTATTAAAAACATACATAGGCCCTATTGCCGCCGAAAAGCTTATGAAAGCCATTAACCAATATAAACAACCGGCTATAATTGTCATTTTGTTTAACGGAATAACAATAACGAAACAATGACATTTTGTATGTATCGTCCATTAAAAATTAATCAAATCGCGATAAGTCATCAATTGCAATGTTTGTGTTTTTGATCCTGACCCTATTTGACGAAAACGGTTTCTGAATTTTATGAATTATGTCAATTATGTACACATTTCCAGTAAGTACATAAGAGGCTGCATTTCGCTTTATCAACTGAAAATTTGTGTTCGCATTATCAAAAGATTGCCGTGAAATAGAGGTGAAAATTGGTTGAAAATGGCAATAAGGATTTTTTCTTGCAGTTGAAAACGTGTGTCCGTTTGTACAAGTTTTACTGTAGCTTAGTTTTCATTTCAACTATCCGTTTCACGTTTCAGAACCAAAGCATCGGCGTCCACCAGTCTTACAAATCCGGAAAATCTGGCCCTACCCATCCTTGGAAAGGATGTCGGTACGTTTAGGGCAACGTAAATGGGAGTTACCCCAACCCATATCACATCCAGAGAACCCTCAATTTATTTTCAACGAATTTTATACGTTTGTATACGTTTTTGCCTCAAAATATGAGTCAGTTTGTACCAAGTCAATTATTTTTTTCGAATTACCTTGGGAGAATGCTCTCAGACGCTCCCTGAGAGGGCTACGATTATGACGCCAGTCTGTCCCCTATTTGTAGGACTACTGCAGTCTCGAGAGGCTGGCGCCGCCTATGAGTGAAATACTTAAGATCAGCTATATAAAATTATTCATAAAGAAAAATTGGGACTTAAGAATGGATGATTTGGTATTCTCAAAAATCACACTTACCTTAATGACATATAAGTTCTGAAGTTCTGGAATATACTGAGGTATTCTGTTATTGTTAAAGTGATACAGACTTCCGTTTTTTCCCAGAAAAAGAAAAACTCTCACGTACATATTATAGTTTTATAATTAGTTAGGTTACAATTTACAATAAAAGCTAAAAGAAGGGGGGAAACTCTTTTTTTTGTAATCTTAACTGGTTAGAACAGAATAAGCTAATCAGTAAAAATGTTCACAGCTCACCGTAGAAATTTGAGCCTTCAATTTCTAAGTGTATCCCTATATCTATATTTGAAAGTTATTTCAACGAGTTGTCACGAACAGACTGGAATATTTGAATATGACTTCATGTGTATATAATTGAATCAATCATCCTGTTCCACTTCGTCGAAGCTCAGCTGTGACGGAAGGTGTCAGAGGACTTTCATTTTCGGATACCCCAATTTTCAGAGGGAGGATAAGCTTGTGAGCAAAATGAATAAAAAAGGTTGTATTTCTTGTTAGCGATCTATTTGAAGGAATTATGTCATTTTTGTACAGTTTTAGTACTTCTGAACTCTATTTAAAAGCATAAAAGGCCCAAATCAACCCCACTTGTCCGCTTATAACATTAACATTCTATCAAATCTAATCAGAGCCATAATGTTTCTGTAAATTTGACTTTTGTTACTTCTACGTGCGTAAACTATTAATTTTTTTGCAACATTTGAAGTTACGATTTTAAATCGCAATTAATCAAGTCAATGTGTTGGCTTCGAGCCAAAGACTGGAAATACAGTTTATCTTCTTTAAAAACATTTTACGCTGATATTTTGTCTGTATCAACGGTCATTAAGCTACAAACCCAGCAAAACATATGACAACCATCACAAGGATTAATTCAAACGGCATATGGGGCTATAATTTCAAACACATTTTGACCAGTTTTATTATAAAATTAATGATGAAGAAATACTTTTAAACAACGTAGTACGTACGTTATTTCGCTGGAACATGTAACTTAGTGATAAAGAAAAGGAAATGAGTAATGAAATATAATAAATCTTAATTGAATTTATAATCTCTGACAAAAAATTACACAAAAATACAGTTAAAACATTCAATGATTCCACTTATCTAACCACCTACTGTTTTCAATTTTAAAGTCATAAGGCTTAACATAAGCATATTTTTGGGAAGGGGTAATTATTATTCGCAAACAGTATTGAAGTATTTTTTTTTACTTCTTTATCCATGGATTTTCTGGAAATTGTTTTCACCGGAGCTAGAAAAAACTATGTTTAAATACAATTTTTTTCGTCCTAAACTAATCAGAGAGCATCCAATCGCCGACAGTTTCAAAGCTATCAATTTTTTCAGTAAGATTAAGTGCAACATTCATTTAAGTAAGGTAATATACACATATTATATAAAATAACACTCAGACAAAACAAAGTAAAATTTATCTAAAAGAATTAGTTAATGCTGCCCTGATATGATGATGCGAATATTAATTAGCATCGACACCATTGTATTACAACCTCTTCGTAAACCAAAGTTTCGCTATTGCAGTGAACTCTTTTAATATCATCCTGTTTGCCTATGGACTGGCGGTCAGTCTAATCGGTAGCTTTCAGGAAGAAGTTGAAGCTTTTTCACCTCTTGTTTTCATATCTTCATAACGATCTTTAGCTTCTTGTAGTGGTTTGACCATCACCTCTTCAATTTGATTGAATAATTTGGCAGCCGTTTCAAACATGGGTATGAGAACAAATTTGATGAAACCAATCTGTGCTGATGGTTTGGTCACCTTTTCTCGATCCATAAACGGTGCAACTGGTAAGCCTTCACTCTTCTCTCGATCTGATTGGTTGAAGTATTCCTCTAACAGACAATCGACCCATGGTTCAGACACTTCCATTGGTCGAACTTCATTTGAAATATCACAACATTTGATCAGAACCATTTTTAACGTGTCAAGGTGTTCCTTGTCCCTGAATTCAAATCCTTTATTAAAATTATTTTTAAAACTATCCATAATTTCAGCATGTCTAGCCATGTCAGTGGCTAAAATCAGCATAGTGATTCCAGATCGAATTCTTTTAAATCTGTCTTTGTCAACATTTGAGAAAATGTTGCATTCGGCATTTGAAAGTATTTGAGTGGCCACTGCACAATGGTGGTTCTCTAAAGGCGATATGTCATTATATCTAATCGCAAGATCGGTTCTAGCATTGATTTGGTACGTGTTGTTATACCCTGGATGATCTAAATCGTGACACACTGCGGCAGTCATCAGTATTCCCAAATCTTCTCGTGTGACGAACTCCCATAATTTGCAAAGATGAATCATTCCGTACATCATTTGCGTCACGCAGAAACAATGACGGAAATTATGAAATGGGTTGTTGCGGTAATTTTCCTGAACACACAGCAACCAACGTTTAAGGGTTACAGGGTTGGTGTTGAATTCATGGACCAAACCAAGTTCATGGTACATGTGTTCCAACAAACTAAGCATTTCATTGGGTTCCCAGTGCCAGCTATCAAACGTTGGTTTCTTCAAATAATCAATCGTTTCCTGTGACAAGGTGTACTTTGGATACGACGGGACATCTCTTTTCAGGGTGATCTTTTTATCGTCACTCATACAGTTGTCTGGATAGTTTTTGTGGGACGCCCAAATTTGGTCTTTTATTGACGTAATGTCCTGCTTACATTTTTCTATTTCTACGATTCTGAGCCCTTCTACTTCTAAGCGACGCTCAACTTGGTGTAAGCGATCACTTAACTCTTTCTTGAATTCGTCTACTTTGAACGTCCGGTTGAGTTGTTCTGTGACTTGGTTAATTGCGGCTTGGACTGCTTTCTTTTCATTCTGTTTCGATTCACGGCGGCAAGGCATCTTGACAGTAACAACATAAGGACTCCTCTCCGTATTTACGGGCATTGCGGGCGTTACTGGTACATGGACGTCATGCTTGTCTGTCAATGTGATAATGGAATATTTGCTTACATCTGCAATGTTAGCAATTAATTCATGGATGTCTCGAGAACAGCTATGTTTGCTGAACGAAATCTTGTTGATCTGTTGGTTGATTTCTAAAAAGACCACTTTGGTGGTTTCCATTGACGATGCAATTCCCATCTTGTTAAATTTTTGGTATCAAGCAAAGGCAGATGAATAGTTCAGGTGTCTACAAAATAATTTCACAAACCTTCGTGATTAATGTCCATCAATATAGCAATGTCCAGATGACAATAGAACATAACAGCTTTCCAGCTTGCACTATTGGGTTCTATAACCTACATAGATAAACCATCTTCCGAATCCACACACAGATCTACAGGTCATTTGAGATCCCTTAACGTGAATAGTCCGGAGAAAATTTGCATTTTACTAGTGTTTTGCGTATGCTTCTGTGCTCAATCCGTTTATTTCGTTCGTTTCCTTGGAAACAAAACTGACTCGTTAATGGATAACTATAGTAACAGAAGTCTACACAGTTTGTCGACACATCCTGTGTAATTTAATCATATAATTAATCATATTTATGACGTACATAAGGGCAGGTGGTCAGATCATTATACAAGATATTCTTCTTTAATGTCGCTAATTGTACCCAAGTTTGGACTACGGATGATGATGGATGATAATTACTTTAATCATCATTATTATTATAAAACACATGAAATTGCATAAAAGGCATAACAAGTTAATACTTCTTCTAGATCACCTTTTACTATTGCGACTGGAGAGATTTTTTATATCACAAACAATGCGTCACTTTCAATCCTTTAACAAAACTGTATGTTTATTTACATTTAACCATTTATTGCTGAATTTGACCAACCCGGTAAAGAGAGCAACTCCATGACAGTATTTAAATTCAAACTGTCGACAGATGCTCCCTTCATCGTTCGATCTTGAATAATGTTCTAGCTATACAACTGTAAATCATCATAAACAACTATTTTAAACACAATTATATTTGTGTTAACACTGAAATCATGAAACTGCTTATACAACTAAATTCTATATTCTACACATTATACATTTAGAAGTCATCAGTAACATTTTTAGAAACAGTAACTGTGTTATCAAAATTATAAAGAACTATCTAAACCAAGTACTTTTTTAAAACCAAAACCACAACATTATAACAAACGTTAACAAAAAATCAAAAGCATAAGCTACCATTCTGACTGAAGGTAACAGTAACTGTGTTTTCCAATTCATTAAGTATTATGTAAACCGTAACCAAAATCATACCATTCTGATTGGTAACTGTTACTGTGATATCAATATCATATGGTTCTATCTTTCACCATAACCAAAATCATACAATCGTAACTAATGGTAACAGTAACTTTATATACAAATTCATTAAGTATTATTTAAACCATTACCAAAATGACACCATGCTGATTTACGGTATACATACGTATACGTTTTTTCATAACTGTGGTCATTACAAATCTTATTTCAATGAAGTTTAAGACAACGAAGCTTCTTTTACTTTGAATATCATTGTTCATACCGATGCTATAGTCCTAATTGCAGGATTAAAGAATGGTTGGACGGGCATTACAACATTTTTACCATTAGCATTTTCACTATAATTCAACCCTGCAGATAATATTTGATGGCCATTTCAATTTTTGAGAAGACTTAAGAGGCCATATAAGAAGGTGATATCTAACCTATAAAATGATAAACCGAGTGATTTTGATATCACTCGAGAAATCATAACGTGTTTCAACTTATTCTGTCAATATGGCAGAAAAGGGTCGTCTACAGATTGGATTACAGACTCTTATGAAATGTTTTACAATGCGAACCCATGAATTGTGCAAAATGGGAATAAGAGACAGTAACTTTACTTTGCTAATTGTGTCGATGCCAACTGTCAACCGATCAATTATCTAGGTAATTTCATTAAGCTCCTTCCAATCGACTGAAGTAGCCCTCATCGCTAACAACATCAGAGAGATTTTCTTTGGAAAATTTAACTTTACAGATATCTCTGTACTGTATTTAGAAGTTATATGCGTTAAGCGGAGGCAAAATTCGACAATTTTTAAAGTTTTGGTAGATTTGGTAAGAATCAACATGGTTCAGACCATAGAGTTTTAAAATTTTGAAAACTTACCATGTATTTCAGCACTAATGAAACATGTAAATGCCCAAACAGGCTCCCCAGAGGTATTATCCGGCCAATTGTCTCGAGTCAAACCATACTGGTTGATTTTTTAACTTAATCATCCACGTTCACTAAAGGCCATTGTATGTTTAAAGAAATATGAAGGACACAGTAGACAACCCTGCACCATACCACAATTTGAAAATCTTTTATGTCAATAAGGATTTATCAGGAAGGTATATATTGGTCATATTTATCGGCCATATATTGAAACTCACGTTAAGCAAATAAAGATCAAGTAACATAACCAACCAATGATGCAGACTTTTAACATACTTGACTATGTTTATGCGATCTTAAGAAGCTTAATTTTTTCTATGAAGCGAATTTGATTATGAAGTAAGCTTGTTAGTTATCGGAGGGTTATTTTACACGCGTAAGTCCTTTTGATACCCAACAAATTTTCAGAAATATCACTGGTTTTATATTACGATGTTTGTTTTAATAAGGTTAAACGAAGGCGTTGAAGGTGAAACACAATAAATAATTGCTAACAAAAAGCATTGTTAGGCGAAGATGTTCGGCTTTGACTTTGTTTAAAAAGTTTTATGCATTAAAAAAGAGATTTTCCTGTGGAATTCCGAAGTATCTTTTTTGCATTAAATCTAATTATTTGCAATATCATTAAAAACAACGTTACGAACTATTTTGACAAGTACTAATGCAATTCATGTTCTACTTATTTAAGGTAAACGCTGCATCATGTGATTTATGTTGCGTTGAAAGCTGGACTACATGGGCGGAATATGGTCACATATGTACACCTGGGACAAGACAAAAACTATAATGATCTTTATTTTACAAGAAATTTCAATAATAGATTCATTAAGTCTGGATCATTCTTGAAGTTTTTTGAATTATTTATGTCATCCAGTAAGACGATGGTCACAATGTTAATGAACAGACAATTCCGGGTCACTAATGTAGAACTAAACCTAAAGGCATGCAGGCTTTGATAAAATATGGTAAGCATCTATTGATTTTTCAAGAACAGTGTTAGAGATGATTAATTAAGGAGTTTACTTACCTCGGACATGAGTTCATGAAACTAAGTTATTAACCGTCCTCTCCTGTGTATTTCGGTCAAGAGCCAAGAATGTCAAATTCGGGGGTCTTAAGAAGGGTGCGCGAGGACGCTAGCCCCTCCCTAGAGAGCGTGCAAATTAAAATACATTTCAGAAATTAAACAAGATAGAATTGAGTTCTCACGAAGTTATCTATATCGTCGTGCTAATACTTCGTCATGCCTAATTAATTAAAAGTCGTAGAAGGCAATCAAACCATCGCTGGGTGAAAGTTGAGCCATATCTAATTAAAATTGTCTAAACTAAGACACAATTTTGATTGTTAAGTGTTATATGATATGTCAATATGGCCCCATACAACCACTTTAGAGGAATATTATCTTGAATATTAGAAGAAATGACGATAAGAGTATACAGGCATGATTAAGATATGAACGTCCTTGTCATGGTGACGCTACAAAAATCATTTCTAACTTGCAGATAATACATGTACAGTATTTAATGTATTGTACTTAATGCAGTTAATGTTTTAAAATAATCTATTATAAAGTTCATATACAGTAAAAAAAAATATTTTTACTGTTAAAATAATGCCCAATACATTAATTATAGAGCGATGTAGAAATATTTAAGTTACAATATAATATTAATATGTACTTCGTTGTGTGGCATCCAGCATCATGTTTCTGTAAGCACCAGAGAAACGAGTTATAAAATTAGGTCGTCATTGTCAATAGGCACGTGATGGGACTAAAAAATTATAGATTTAAAGAGATATTTCAAGAATAAATTGCATAAGATTTTATATTTGTCATGATTTTTTCTACAACACCATGACCTATCATTAATTTTGTATTTCCAGCTTGTTACAAATTTATATCTATCAATAACCAATATGGCTCTATGACCATTTTTTGTTATAAGTATATCCATGATCAGAGGTTTTCAACCTTCGTCATTGCATTGTCCCCTATTAATCCTCACTATTTCATGTTTTCTCTTAGGTATTCACTGAAATAATTTTCGTGTCGAAGAATATAGTCTGACTGCATATAACAACTTCAAATAATTTTTTTTTTAAATGGTAATTTTTAAACGCTGTGAAATCTATTTCTTGATAACATTTTTCTATTATTTAAAAATGATTAGGCCTATGACACGTGACATTTATATGGTGTCCGGTTTTGAAACTGTAAAACTTAAACATGTTCTTGCATTAAACTAATAATTAATTTTATATCAATCATAAAACATGATTATTCATGTCCATTTTTTACTAGAAACTTTGCTTTATAAGGTTATAAACATTGGGTTAACAGGCGTAGGCTTGGAGATTGGGGTATATTTAAAGATATTTTTGTGCAGTTCTAGTACTTCTGAAGACTATTTACATATATTCAAGACCCAAATTAATCCCCGGAAATGGCGAACCAGACAAAGATTTCCATTGCTATTAAATATATGAATTTCTGTTTCAAAATGCTGAAGAATTAATAAGAAATATATTTAATTTGGTCATCAAAACGATATTTTGTACTTTTTAGTAATTGCTTTGGCTTTATTTAGTCTATTAGCACCATGACGTTTACATGACATGAATGAAATTTGGTTGTAGTCTGATGAGCCGCTTGTAGGTTATTGCCCTTACAACAGACTTGAAAGCAGTGTGAAAATGATAATTTGATGAATAAATATTTGAGATTTTAACCACCAAATTGAAGCTCTTTTTGAGCAAATGTGTAGGCCTATTAAAAGTTGGTCATTTACATGTATATTATAGCATGGTCCTTTGCAATGGTATAGATGTTATCGATATGGATAATATGGATAATATCTAACGTTTTGCCATTTTTGAAGTTGCAAGTGTGCGTATATTATCTTACATGACATATCATCTTGTCCAAACCACGCCCCCATTC